GTTTGGTTTAAATATGTATTTGTTGATTTATACCAGGGGTGGACAAATACCAGGAGCCTGGTAACCAATGCTCCTTAACAGTCACAGCTGCCTCCTAGCTTTTGAGATTTTCTCTAGTTGTTGTCAATTGAGCTGGTTCCTAAAACAAAATCCTCATGGTTCTGGGATTGAACAGATTTGCTCCTGAATTCCATATTTCTCCATTCATCTTCCAGGACGGCAAGCTGAGAGATGATTGGCTCCTCCTTCTATAGGAAACACAATTGAACAGATTTTAAAAATCCCTCCCATCCCCCTCGACCCTCAGTTTTCGAATGTATTTCCTACCACCAGGCACATCAAATTTGTTATTTTTCCTGAACGGCTGGCTGTTGTGAAGGCCGCGGGTCCCCCTCTGTGCAGCTCTGCTAATGGATTACTCCCTGCGGCCCTGCTGCTACTACAGAGGGTTCCCCTTACCTATTCCAGGAGCTCACCTTTCACCCTCTGGACCGGCTGACTCCTAAAGTCCTGGCATTTTTGCCCTGTCTGTGGCCCGGCTTGATCCTGTGACTGAGTGACTCTGGTACTGCTGTTCTGCAGCCACCCGGTGGTTGTTCGGCCGTGGTTTGGGCGCAGAATCTGGCTGGGGGTGGAGCCGTGCGCCTCGAGCCTTGTTCTGGGCATGCTGCGTCATTTCTGCTCCCGACGCTGAGGTCACTTCCGCTGCGCGCTGCTCTGCTTGCTGCTGACGAGGTGGACAGCAATCTAAGAGAGCCAAGGACAGTGTTGGGATCATCGCGGCTGCCTGCATGGAGAAGGACAGCAGACAAGCAAGTTTGGCATTTTAAACCAAGGGCCTGGTAAGTGGCTAATCTGATGTTACGGTGGAGGATTGCGTTACAGGGATATTTGATATGGTAATAGATGATCTTGTTTTGGGCTTCCCTGTTGGACCCTTCTTGTGCTGAAAAATCGGCATCTATGCCGCCTGTTCCACCGACAGCTCCAGCCTCAAGACAGATTAAAAAGCTTTGTGGTAGCTGTAATATCAAGCTGCCTTCCGGTTACCAAAAGCCTCTTTGCGATCTCTGCCTTAACAAGTTAATTTCTAGTGAATCCTCTAATCTTATTAAGGGCATATTGGAAAGTATGAAGATTGAGAAGGTAGCTACAGTTCAGTCTTTTAGAAGGGCCGTTTCCGAGTTGTTACCATCATCCTCTGCTGTTCCAGTTATGACAGGACCTTCGGGTTCAGGACAGGCTAAAGTAAGGCCTATTACTGAGGTATTGGATAAGGCCGTATCAGACAAAGATTCTGTGTCGGATAGTTCTCTGTGAAGAGGGGGAAACCATAGAGGAAGATATGGAATCTTGTCTCTCTAGACATCTATTCACATTGGAGGAAATTGATTATTTGTTACAGGCAATTTATGCCACTGAACAGTTTCCAGATTTACAGTGAGCTGTTTCAGTTCAGGATAGAGTATATAGGGGTTTGTTGAAACCGCAAGGTAAGAGTTTTTCCTATTCATCTGTCAATTAGAGAGGGTTATTCACAAAAGGGTGAAGAGTTTGGAGAAGGCAGGAGAAGGGAACGATCTAGGACAAAATAGCCGATTTGGAAAAAGTCTCTAATTCAGCTCACTTTCCAGTTTCAACATTTTGTCCTAGATTGTTCCTTTCTCCTGCCTTCTCCATGCACCCTTTTGTGAATAACCCTCTCAGTTTCTGGGGAATGGAAGGAGCCAGAGCAGAAGTTCCTATCTTTTAGATCCTGGAAAATAAAGTTTCCCTTTGCCACAGAAAATGATGATATATATTTCAAGTGTCCAAAATTAGATGCTCCACTGGCTCAGCTTTCAAAGAAGTCTGATCTCTCATTTGAGGATGCTGGTAATCTTGAAGATCATGTAGACTGGAAGGGGAAGTTTTTTTGCGTAAGGCCTGGGTGCTAATGCAGCATCTATGGCATCAGCTGTTGCTGCCAACTGTGTGGGTAGAAACATGGATTTATGGTTGGACAGGGTTTCTCGACCCCTCTCCCCGGGTGCTCCCATAGAGCAAATTTTAGCAAACTACTTTATCAGTAGTGGGTAAGGCAGTGGCCTATTTGGCTGATGCTTCAGCAGAATCGGGTAGTGCCTTGCTAGGTCACGTGGCTCTTCTGAACTCTGCCAGACGCGCCAGTTGGTTAAAATACTGGGAGGGGGATGTGTCTTCAAAGTCTAGACTTTGAGGGTTACCGTTTGAAAAAAGTTGGTTTTTGGGTCTGGTTTGGATAAAGTCCTAGCCAGATCATCGAAGTGGGGCAAGAGATTTTGCAAGAAAATATTTGTTTCATCCACTACCAGAACAAAATAAACAGGTCAGTAGATTCCGGACCCATAGAAGGAGCTGGCCATTTAATGAAGATTTTAAAGGTAGAAAAGTCCCACCTTATTTCTGCTCAATCCATAGTTTTCTTGGACTATCGGTTAGATTCGGTGGTTTAAAAAATGTTTCTTACAGAGGAGAAGTTTGCAAGATTTTTAGATCTGTCAAAACAGGCCATAACTTCAAGAGAAATCATTAGATTGTTGGAGGTAATGACATCGGCTATCCCAGCTCTAGATTGGGCTCAACTTCATGCAAGGCCATTGCAGATTTTCCTGTTGTCTCAGTGGGACAGGAGGAAGGAGACCATGGATTTCAGAGTTTAGTTGCTAACAGATATCCGCCACTCTCTTATTTGGTGGACAGTGCCAGAAAGGCTGCAAAGAGTCAGGATGTTCTATCAGATCAACCCAGTCAGGGTCACTACGGATGTGAGTTCTTGGGGCTGGGGGGCTCATGCCCAGGTATTGAAGGCTCAAGGGCCTTGATCACAAGATCTAAGTGTGGCATCATCACGGGGGGCATTGATTGCTTTTCACTCCATGCTAGTAGGACAGGAGATTCTGATTTTTTTTTTTCAGACAACTCCAGTGACTCATTTTGAATCATCAGGGTGACACCAGATCCCCAGGCCTATTGGTAGTGGCTCAGAACATTCTTCTCTGGGCAGAGGGGAATGTCCAGTCTATCTCAGCTGTGGACATAAGAGGGCAGTACAATGTACAAGCAGACTTCCTGAGCCAGGAACCTATTCATCACAACGCATGAAAACTACATCAAGATGTTTTTTATATGATAGTCGACAAATGGGACCAATCGGAAATAGACTTATTTGCAAGCAACGAGAACCGGAAAGTAAGCGATTTTCTTTTCAAGAGGAAGAGGATGGGGATCATCAAGCACAGATGCCCAAGCCCAGGATTGGGTGTTCAACCTAGGACACCTTTTCCTCCTCTGTGCTCGATCCCTCAGATTTTACAAAAATTGAGCCAAGCCCGATGCTTTATCATTCTTATAGCTCCTTGATGGCCGAAGAGAACCTGGTTCTCGGATCTTCAGAGATATTCTATTCTCCCTCCTTGGGAACTTCTGTATAGGGGGATCTTCTTTTTCAAGGACCAGTGCTAGATCCAAATCCAAAATTTGTTTGGTTGACAGCCTGGTTCTTGAAAGGAGGTTGTTAAATAAGAGAGGTTCTTCAGACAGAGTGGTAGACCCTCTCCTTTCCTGTAGGAATGTGCTCACTAGAAGGATTTATAAGTAAAGTGTTTTATGTAGGAACATTGTTTCTCCTTTGGTTCGGGTGGTTTTGGATTTCCTTCAAGGGTGTTGATGAAGGTGTGGCCCTCCGCACCTTTTTAAAGATACTTTTTTTCTAGCTACTACATCAGCTAGAATAGTGGGGTATTTGCAGGCATTCCCTATTAAAGATCCTTATTTAGTTATTCTTCTGGACAGAGTGATACTTAGACCAGATCCTTTGTATTTGCCGAAGGTATCTTCCTCTTTCCATAGGTCTCGAGAGATCATTTTACCCTGACAATCCACAAAGTCTCAGTGAAGAGGAGTTCCATACATTGGATGTTAGAAGGTGTCTCCTAAGTGATTTAGAAGTTATCAGGATTTTCAGAAAATCCAGTCATCTTTTTGTTTTTCGTTGGAAAAAAGGGCTTACACGCTTCCAGAGCCTCTCTAGCTGCTGGATAAGACAAGCTATTACCTAGGCACTTTCTGACCTTCTAAATGATAAACATGAGTCAGTAAGGGCTCATTCTACTAAGTCTCTATCCACTTCATGTGCAGAGAGAACTGGGGCTTCGGGGGAACAGATCTGCAGAGCTGCTGTATAATCAAGACTGGACACCTTTTGCCAGACACTACAGAGTGGAAGTTCTGTCACCGCAAGACCTAGTGTTTGGCAGAAAATGATTACAGTCTATGGTCCCACCCTGAAAAGGTAGGCTTGTTGGTGTGCTTGCCAATTCTCTCAGGTTGCCGTCCTGGAAGATGATTGGAGAAATCCTTTGTTACACTTAATGGTATTTCTGATAGTCTTCCAGGAGGGCAAGCCTACTTTCCACCCTAATTTATATTTAATGGTATTTTCGGTGAATGTTAGCTAATTTCCTTCGTGCATTGGTGGAGGTAGTCTACTTTTATCTCAACTGAGGGACGAGGAGGGGTTGGGAGGGTTTTTCTAACTCTGTTCAATTGTGTTACCTGGAGAAGGAGGAGCCAATTATCTCTCAGGTTGCCATCATGGAAAATTCTCAAATACTGTTACCGGTAAGTCTAACGCAGGATTTATTTGTCCACCCCGATTTATACAATGCTATTATGTGATGCTGCACAAAGTCAGTAAAACAATGCATTCCAAGTATATACAGCTATATAGCAAAAACATATACAGCAACTTAAATATTTTATAGTTTAAAATGTGTGTTTTATTGTTAGGATAGAAATATTTTTTTTAAAAGAAAGAGATTGGGTGCATGTTTTAGCTGAATGCCTTTAAATAGTTTAACTTTCTGACACCTGCTTAGCCCTCCCCATGCAGACATCTGGTTGATATAAGGCATGCAAGTAGAGTATGTAAATTCAGCTATTTAAAATGTAGATTAACTTGTTTCTGTTTTTCTTCCCAGCTTCAACAGCCTGAAGATGCAGTGAGGTTTACTATTAACTGGGATAAGATCCAGTGCCTTCCAAATGTGGGCCCTGCATTCCTGTGCAGTCTTCTTCAACAACACATATCTGATCTGCAGGTAATCTCTACTTTTTCAATGTAATCCTGCAGTGTGTTCAGTACCAGAGATGAGCACAAATGCTCTTTATTGTTGTGGGTTTTGTAGAATGCTAGCATGTGCATTCGTAATCCTGAAACAAAAAAGCATGCATTCGCTGCCACTCTGTAATAATAATTTTGTAAGGTAAATCTTGCCATAAAGAAAATACTTAAGCTGGCCATATACTTCATAGTTTTTGTTTTTCTTGTTCAGCCCTGCAGGTGGAACGAGTAAAAAAAACTCTTGATTCCAACAAACAGCGTGCATGGGGAAATCCCCTATCCCCTGCCAGGCTATTGTATTCTGACTGCGACTTGTGCCACAGTCAGAATATCCAAACATTGTCTGCAGCAGATAATTTAATGCAGTGTATGGCCAGCTTTTCTGGGGACACCATTTTTTTATGTTGTCTTTTGCCCAGGCTAAGTCCTTTTTTATGGCAAGTTGTGTCCAGGTGACTTGTGACTTTTTGTACTGCCCTATATCAGTTCCTCCTGTGATCTTCCAAAATGTCAGGTGGAAAAAAGTGTACCATGAAATATTTGGGTACACGGAAATTCTGCAGGATTTCTTTGGAAGCATGGTTAGAAACAGAATAAAATGGTAAGGTGAGAGAGATGTTGTTCCCTTTCATGACATGCCTGTTTCAGCCCATCTGCCTATAAGTCATGTGAAACAGACATTACCAGGTTGTGGAAGGTGTCCGTTTACGGAGAGAATGAAGCATAAAAAAGCCTCACTCCTGTAGACTTAATTCATTACTATTGCTCTTTTTTTACTAATGGAAAGATAACTTTCCATTTAATAAAAGCTGTAATAGTAATTATGGTCTTCCCTGGGTGCCTGACATACCACCCGAGTCCTGAAACCCAGGGGCCTTCTAATGCAAATGTGTGTTTTTTTTCTTTCTGCTGTTGATTAATGGCCTTGCTTGTCATTTATTGTTTATTGGGCATTACGGGTGGGCAGTTTACTTATTTGTATGAACATTTTACTAATTTGTAAAACTATTTAGGGAATGGCCATTACAATTGTAATGAAAAGCAGATAGTTTGCTTATGTATAAATGCAGTGGATACATTATTATTAATGCATTGCAAGGTTTACCATGAGCTGGACCCTTCAGGGCTAGTTCACACCAGTCCCAGTGCATTCCGGCACGATTCGGTGCTGGAATGCACTGAATCACAGACAAAAAAAAATCAGATCAGAAAAAAAACTGCATGCACTATTTTTTTCTGACCGCATCTAACCAGAACGCAGGCATTGATGTGCCATGCGTTCCGGTGCAGGCGATCGAACTGTGGCCAGGGAGTGTGGCTGCGGTACCATTGACTTCAATGCAGAATCCAGAACACAGGGAACCGGCTGTGATGCGATCCAGTGCATTTTGGCACAGAATCGTGCCGGAACGCACTGGGGCTGCTGTGAACTAGCCCTTAAGCTTTAAGGTGCCCATGCACTGCACGATTATCGTACGAGAATCGCGGGAAATCCTGCGATCATATGATCGTGCAGTGTATGGTACAGTTGAAACTTTTGTATTTCGAGCATGTTGGAAAACCAGCCGAGAATCGTACGATTTTTGGCTGGTTTTTAGCATGATTGAGAGAACTGCCGAACGGGCGGGTGTGCGCGCGCACACTGCCCGTTAAGCATTGCAGTCATCGGATGCCCGCCCCTCAGGGGGCCGGCTTGCGATGATCTCCAGTACGATCTGCCTGTCCAAGATGGGCAGATCGTACGTTTTTTAAATTACTTTACAACCCTCGCAAGACAAAAGTCTTGCAAGGGTTGTAAAGTGTATGGCCACTCTGCATGTATACATTATATTCCGAGATTGTTTTGCACCAAAAATATATTTACATGCTCAGAAGATTTAACTTGTACATTTGTAAACAGTATGCCCTGCAAATGTCTTCCAACTATGTAAGTAATATCTCGGTTTCCTGATATTTCCTTTTCCCAGTTAAAGATTTTGAGAAAGAGGTTGTGTGGTGCCGAGCAGGCTGCACAGGGAAGGTCCAGTGGAGTAGGGCATTGGAGCCAATAAGTGTGACTTCCTAAGCTAATAGGAGTGAATAGTTGAGCTAGTATCTTTGGTGTCCAGTTACAATACAATGATTTTGTAAAATTTTTATTTTGGCAAGTGTAAAAAGCATGTGGGCTAATTACATTGTAGGTGTAGGAAAATGTATTGCGGACAAAGCCATGTGTTCGTGGAATGTGGCCAGGCTGCCAACTTCTTTTCATAAATCTGGTGATTTGTATACACCTACAATGCCATGCAAGTTAGGAAAATATAATTATTGTCTTATGTTACTTTCCTGGTCCTAAACAGCTGAATGTACATTGTATGTTTGCTCTTCGCATTTATAAAAGATCAGCGTCTCCTGTAGCCTTGACAGATAAAAGCCAAATATATGTTACACTTATAACACAATATACATTATGTAAATGCACATCCAGGATATGCATTGTGTCAATGCATTTACAGAAATATGCATTGACAAGAAAATGAAAAAGTTGCTACACTCCCAGCTTATCTATTACTCCTGAATCTATGAGAACAGTGTATACCATTGTATACTCATGCCTTCATAGATGAGGCCTTTGTCATTAATATAATCAAAGATGGCCAAGAAATTGAATAGCGCTACAAATCCTGTCACTCTTCTTGCTGAAGAATCTGATGCCTGTCTGTGTTTACAGGAGATAGTCTGTTACACAATTCTGATACACTTGGAGTGTTACCATTTACAATTATATGTATAGGGTATTGAGTTAGTTTTGACGCTGGCTTTCTTGCATAACAATGGTTGTATTAATTTTGGAAGGATTGCACAATTGAATAGCAGCTGCAGATGAGCAATGACTCTTTATGACACTAGCCACCAAAGCTAACTGTTGAAAATGATTTGAATATCTCCCACTAATACTTAAGTATTTAGCTGACAGGGTACCTGTACTTAGAGAATTTGGTGAACTGCCATTACTACTTTTTTGTTATGAAAATGCTAGGTGCCTGGCTATCATGCTAGTATAGTGGACTCAGTTGTTTTGTGTTTTTGTGGGGCTACCGCACCACAACAGATACTGTGAAGTAAAGTACAATTCTCACTTGTTGCATGCTTGGTCCAAGTCATTGAATGATGCTAGAGACAGTCAAGCATCTAGCTTTATCAGAAGTACAGTAGGTCAGCAACGGCAGCTCACATACGTGTCTGTATATGTAGCCATGAAGTGGAATCTGTCTCTGCTGTCACTGCTGTGAAAAATGAGCTCCCTTCCCAGGATTTTAATTTTACAGGGATCAAAAATGGCAACTTACCGATTCCGATCCAATTAGGAGGAAGGCATAGTTCAGTCTTAAAAGTAATTTAGCAAAAAAGTTTAATAAAGGAATACACCTAGAGCAGATTAATAAGTAAAAAACAAAAGGAGAAAATCAAAAAGAAGGCAAAAAATACTCCTCAGACAAGTAGTATGTTGTTCTTGCACTTAGGGCCCATTAGCTTCCATTAGCTTGCACATGAACATGCATTACGTTAAGGCAGTCCATTCTGCAAGCTATTCTGAAAGCATTCCTTATGTCTCAATTAATACCAGGGCTCCTATCAGAAATCCTCTGTCTAGTGGACTCGTCATAGTTATCTCAAACAGTCTTCCTGCCCAGGTTCGCTTTATGAACTGCAGAACACCTTCCTCCTTTGTTATAGAGATGAGGATAGGGGAAGATGGTCTGTAGTCATATCATACTTCCTAACCTAGGGTGACAAGTTCAGTGCAGTGGGTGAATGTTGTCACTCCAGGCCACCACATCTAAGGACTGGAAAGCTGCTGTATATTATATTTTTGTTTTTGGGTTTAAGTACATTTTACTAATTGGACACTCATTGTCTGATTCCTGCATGTTTGTCAGATTTAAATTGCACTCAATCCATGGTGGTATAAATGGTCAGGACTGGTTACAGAATGCCAATAATGGCATACGTGTGCATTTTAAATGTATGTACATGTGCACTTCCATAGAAATAAGTCTTTATTTATTTTAGCCTCTTTTAGCTCGCCTCCAGTCATTGTCTATTGGTAAAGGAGAGAAGAATGTCCGCTCAGAAGATGATGGAACAAATAGCTGTACATCAGATGTGGAAGAAAGCAAGAACACTGACTCTGGTTTTACTACCAAGTGTGTTCCAGATAAAGGGGTGTCGGACACCAGCTGTCTAACTGATCCTGCAGTCGTACAGATCCAAGCAGGAAAATCAGAGGTAAAAGTGACATCTTTGGATATTTTGGTAAAAACAATGACTGATATTTTACTTTGTAGGCACAATAATGTAATTTGAATACTTCTTTAAAGTTAACTTTTTCTGGCCAGCTGCTACCTTGCTCTTATTTCTTTTTCGTCCTTGGTGTTAGAAAAATTGGGCACTGGCAAACAGAAAACTGTAAACCAGCACAGGATAACTTCTCCGACTATCAGCATGCTTCAGTTATTGGGTAAAAGTGTGGGGCGCTTTCCAGACTCTCTTCTACTTAGCTGTGGGGCACTTTTCAGGTCCGGAGCAGCTGGTATTGCCTCTGCACTTGCCCTGTGTCTGCAGACTTGCTTAGTAAGTAGCCTTTGACTGATGAGCTTCACCTTGAGGAGTCACAGTCTAATGCTGTTACTTCTAAGGTATAGGAGCCTTCTGCATGAAGGTGCACCCCCCACTTCCATTTGTCAACCTTTGCAGACACATGGACAGCTTGCATCTTAGATGTTAGGGTACAGGAAGCTGGTATTCCTGGGCTACAAAAAAGAGTTTTGCTCCCTGCCCCCTCCCCAGTTTCTCACCTCCAACCTTCCTATGTCACAGTACAGATTATCATCCATAATAGAAGGCACCAGCACTCGATATGTGCAAGAAGATGTGCACTTTTTATTCAATTGTCACATGCGTCAAACAACAACATGTATGCAACTTCAGCTTAAATAATGAATCACACAGAATACACCACAGAACCTCCCCATGACGTCATATCTCGAAGGTGAAAGACTTTCTGTATCCCTTAATGAAAATCCCATTGTCTTGTCCATTAAAGGACACAAGAAGATCATTCTTAGACATTTAGGTAATACATTTTGGATACTGGCAAACAAAAAAAGTGAAGCCATCCCAATAAAACCCCCACCTCAAGCCAGACATGCCTTTTTTTTTTAATTTACAGTAATGTCCTATGAGGATTGATGCATTTTCTTCAGCTTTGCTGAGGAAATTTTTTTTCTATATTTTCACTAGAATTTATATTGCCCTTTCTATTTAATTTTCTTCTTCAAACAAGATAAGCTTTACACTGTGATTTATATATTTTTTGTTTGGTGACATCAGTAAATATTTTTGCAATGCTGTTTGAACTAGCCTCTACAGAGTCTACACAGTAGCTGTTCGGGAAGGTGTATCTTCCACACACTTTGGATGGCATAGCTGACTGCTGCTGGACTGAAAAATTCCAGTGTTAGCCAGTAATGTGACATTGTATACATTGTGGTGCTTTCCAGACCTCTGTGTACTGGTCACAAAGAGCTCTTCAGGTCCGGATCTATGACCCAGTCACTGAGGAGTCGCATTGTGAGTAAGGCCATTTGGGCTGAAGCTCCAGGAGCTACTCCACAGTTAGTACTGTTGGGCTTTATTTTAGAATTTCCTCCATGACCATCATGCAGCAGTAATGGTTAATGCTAAGGCAGCTGAGTGCTAACATCAGCTAGGTGGAGTGTGTGCATGTGCGCTCCGGACTCTTTGCCCTCGCCTTTTTGGCCTAGAGCAAGTGACTTTCTGCAGATACTACAATGCTTTAACGATCCACTGTTATCTAGATTCACTACAGCGCCTGTCTTCCTTGACTCGGTCGCCTTCACCAGTCTGTACCTCACCAGCGTCCGCAGTCTGTGTTTGTGAGTAAGCAAGGCCTTTTAGTTATCACTATGCAATGCATCATGTTTAATACAGAGAACGTTCCTCTGCAGCGGGTGACCTCAGCCAATGCTTTTCCATTGTGGATATGGGTGATTTCTTTGTATGCCCAGAGAGGTCTGATGCCAGCAACATGGATCCTGGGACCCCTGTTACTATAGACGTATCCTCTTTGGAGTCTTATCTAGCACTGCAGTGTGAAGTGGAGACCTCGCATGCATCCACAAGGTCTTTTACTTTTTTTTTAAATTGGATTGTACACAGTTAATGTAGCAATCTGCCTGTACTGGTTCTAAGGCCTGGTTCAGACCTGAGTGTTTCTGCACACACACGTGTTTCACGTTTTTATGCGCATACGGCAAAACGCGCGTTTTTGTGAGCAGGTTGTAACTCATTGATGATAATGAGCAAACGCGCATAAAAATGCGCAAAAACACAGCAACCGCGTGCTTTCAAGCATTTCCTATTGAGTCTATGTGGCCAAAACGAGCTGTATGTGCCAAACAAAAAGCTGTACTTTTTCCAGCGACATGCGCTTTGCTTATTGCTACTAAACGCTCAAATGTGAACAGGGCCATAGAAATAAAAGGGATTTTTTTTTTTTTTTTAGGGCAGAAAAAGCGATACAAAATACCTGTAGTGAGTTGACCGTTCTGCCTCTGCTGCACTGAAATCCCAGTAAGGGTTATCGGGGAGTTATTCCCTGCTGAATTACAGAAATATTTTCCCTCTGCTCATCTCTATAACATCATGTAGTGAATTTGTAGCCCAGTCGGAGATCTGCAGCGCCTTAAAATTCTAAGTTACGAGCCACTGAAAAAGTTAGTATACATCTGCTTCTTTTACAAGCTGGGTTAAGTTTAGTTTTGGCGTTGAAATGACCAGATCACTTTAAAGAGACAAAGCTAGGAAATGTATTGCAGATGTACTGAAAGTCGCCCCCCCACCAGATAAACTCCTGAAGTAATTCTTTCCACATAACTGAGACTCTTCATTCAGCTTGTTCATTTAGTTGCCTTTTACAATATATAATTACTCGTATATCGTTACAATAGTAAATGTAGTAATCTTATAAAAGTTTATTGAAAACGATACATCCATTCCACTTATTAAAAAAAGGTATGCAAGACCGATTTCTCTTATTGGAGCTGTGGTTTTGCTGTGCTATGTTACTATTCTGATAATATGAACATAAGACAGATTGTCCCTTCAGTTTCTCCAAAAATTGTAGCTTTTGAGATGTAAACTTTATCCAGACATTTAGTCAGGTAAACCTTCGTATGGTAATCTTTATGTTCTCTATCCCAGAGAAATAAGTCTGTTTTCTCTCTCTCTTTTTCCTTGAAAGTAAGTCTGCCTTGATATGCTGTTATATTGCTGTCTCCACATTGCTCTTCACAGCTCTTCTCCACTTTAGCTTTCAAAATGTCTTTTTTGAGTGTCCGAAATCAAAGCAAAGTTTCTAAAGTAGATGGCTGCACGCATGCTGTGTGGGGTTTTTAACACAGCTGATTCCACCTTTCCCATCACTGCTTTTTTTTTTCCCTCTGTGCTTCCTCCCTGTAGATCGACAGAAGGATATTGGCATTCATCGAGAGAAAGCAAGCCGAGATCAATGAAAACAACGTCCGGGAGTTCTGCAACGTTATTGATTGTAATCAAGGTAAATGCTCCTACAGTCACTCCATTTCCCAGTGATCTCAGTCAGAGATATGGCTCGAAATGCCTGCTCTCTGTCTGATTCTTAGCTTTTTACAGCTAGCGGCTGCCTTTGATTCATCTAGCAGAAAAGAGCGAGATGAAATTGCAGCACAAACATGCCACAAACACCAGCTTCCTTTTTCATTTGTGTTGCATATAAAACAACTGCAGTAATACTTGATAATTGTTTCATGTTGCTTGATATAAAGTCATACTAATCTTAAAAAGCAATTTTGTGACATTTTGACTTTTAAAAATTGGGATATTATTTCTAATATGTGCAGTTTTGTTTTTTTTATGTTGTGTTCCATTGATTACCAATGTTTGTAGACAATGTGCAGATAAAACAAACCTGTTATTTCGAGTAATTGTTCACCTTGATGGGTATGTGTGAAGAAAAATATGGATTCTAACATAAAGTTTCTTATGAGGTTGCAGATGTGGAATTAGTTAGCCAGAATGTTCAGGGTTTTCTGGAGCATGAATTGCCTTGTAATTTGGGGCACCCAAGACATGACCAGACAGTCTCCTTTTAGGTCAATTATCTTATTAAATTATGTTTTCAAATTTAAATAGTGTTAAAAAAGCCTTCAAATTTGACAGAACCCAAAACTTCACATGAGCTTTAATTACAATATATTGTGTACATTGCAAATTATGTACTATGGTGGTATATGCAGAATCCTTTAAAGAAAGTAAAAACCTTTGTCTTAGCTTGTGCATAGGCCTCAGACAATAAATATATCAGATGTTATATTAAAACTGAATTCTTTTATTGAAATAATAGAAGCACTACAGATATAAATCTAAGTTCTGTGCATCAAATGAATTTACAAACCCTGATTTTACTTTATAAAAATAGGGGTGACATTACTGTGCTGTGCATAAACCTGGTCAGGGTGGAGAGATGTGGAAGGGACCCAGCAGGTGCCCCCGCCACAGGTCGCCTGCAAAATATTACAGCATGGGGCAGATACAAGACCAGTCACCCTGCACAAGGAGAGAGAACAGCACTCAAGGTCTACTCATCCACAGGAACAATATTCAGCAGTTAGTTTGTTTATGCTGAATTACTGAACAGATCAGCAATAGATGCCCACAGAACATAAGATTAAAATAAGAATACACAAGCTTCTTGAATTAAAACAATATTTCTCTCCCGTTCATTGAAGGACACAGGGC